AGGAAGATAAAGTGGCTATGAAAAAAATTCTAAATAAAATAAAATAAATAATTAAGTATAGAGATTGCAACGATGTTATAATACCAATAAGATGAATCTACTAGATATAATAAATGATGCATCCTGTACCAAATGTAAAAGTGGACCACCATTAAGGGTTAAATGAATATCAATCCAATGACAGACATAGTAAACATATGTTTATTTACAACTCCAATAACATGTTTTTCAAGAGTTGTCAAAACAGGCCAGACCGGCTCATGTGAGCCGGCCCAACTTGACCCACTTTAAAAACGAGTCAACCCAACCCGACCCACTTTAAATTTTCTCAAAATAAATTTGGCCCAGCCCATCACGGGTTGGTGGGTTATACGGGCCAGCCCACCAACCCACCAAAAATTAAAAAAAAAATATCAACAAAATTTAAAATTTAAAATTAATTATAAATTAATATAACAATCATAAAATTAGCATCATTAATAATCATAAGTCATAACTCATCATACAAAATTAAATACAAATCATGATAAAAGTCTAAAATAAAATTTTTTAATATCCATCATACAAAATTAACTACAAATCATACTTAAATTTTTATTGCAAAAAAAAATGGTGGGTTGGTGGGCTACCCGGCCCACCACGGGTTTAGCCTAGATGGGCCGGGTCAAAGTGGGTTGGGTTGAGATATACCAACCTACTATAAAACTTCAATTTTTTGGGCCCGGCCCGACCCGTTTTCAAGGTGAGCCGGGTTGGCCCACGGGTCGTGGCCCACTTTGGCGGCTCTATTTTTCACACATCAAAATTCTTCTTGTATATCATGATATGATTGATTATTTTTGCGCAGTGTTTATAGATTTTTTTTAGTAAGATAACTTTTAGAATTTTTTTTTATTTTTTATCAAATTTAATTTTTATTTATCATATACTAGCATGAAAAAGGCACTCGTGCCTATATTATATTGAAAAAAAAATGAGAAATTACTCATAAAAAGGTAGTTATTAAAAAATAAATAAAGGATAAAATGGTCTATATAAAAATAAAAATTAAAAGTAATTATTGAAAGTGAAATCCCTTTATATATTAGTATAAATTCATTAGTTTCAAGATTTTAAATTTGATTAAAAATATTTTTTCTAATTTTTTTTAAAATAAAAGAATATAATAATCAAAAAAAGTGGAGACCAAAGTGGTTACTAAAAAGTGTATCCCCTTTATATATTAGTATAAATATATATATATATATATATATATATTAAAATTTTACTTTATTTTAATTTTTAGTTTTATATTTTAATAATATTTATGAATATATGTAAATATCACGAATATTTATAAAATTTGGAACTATTCGCTTAATAAATAGCTATGGAACGAATAGGAAATGAAATTTTATCTAGTAAGACAGGTGACAATGGATTAGTACGTGTGTGCATCTCTCCTAATTGTCATGATCCTATCTAACTGTAGTTAATGGCAGAAAAATTAAAAAAACATTTCACAGAGTTATGATTTAGTAATAAATAATATAATATTTAGAAAAGACTATATCTATAACATCATTATATGAGCTAATCCTTCTGAAACAATTATTCACCAAACAATTTAGAACATACGTCAATTCTTGCAAAAAAAATGAAATTTCCCCTTTATAATTTTTATATGAATTTTATTAGAAAATAATTATAAACTCTTTTGAACTAGTATTTTTATAACAATCAGATTATTTTATAGTATATTTAATAACCCTCAAATTATTTAGTAAAAGACAATGTTGAATATTTTTCTTGTAATATTTTAAAAACTTTTATTTTGTATTTGTTTATAAAAATATTTTATAAAAGCTGAAAATAATGTTTACAACTTTTTAAAAAAAAATTATAAAAATCAAAATCAAAACTCACTCATTTTATAGAATTTAAAAATATTTTTAAATTTATTTTTTTTATAACATATAAGAAATACCATATCGTAAAATTTTCAGCTTATAATATATAATACGAAAACTGGCTGTGCAGAAAACATCCGGTGACCAAGTTGGTGATATATTATTCCGTTTATCTATCTATTGCATGGAATGCGAATAACGAGGGAATTACAGCTGGCTCGTCCAACGTGGAACTCTTTCAATTAGAAAAAACAAATGCTCCACTAATAATAACATTAACCAAACTGTCCCAATATATATATATATATATATATATTAAATTTTAATATTTTAAAATATATTATTAATAATTAAAAATAATTTTATCTCACAATATAAGTTATGCATTATAAATTTTAAATATAATTTACATGTTTTAAAGTATTTATTTATATAAGTCATTTGTTTAAGATAATTTCTTTCGCCTTCTTCGAAAAAATGGTCCATATTATTAGACCATATGTTCTCGTCGTCTACTCAAAAAGTTGTTTGCTTTAAACAATCTCTTTCTTTCATTTTTTTCAATATCGATTTTCGCACCCATTAAAATCCCTGCCCTACTAAACTTTTTTTCCACGGAAAATCAAAATTTTCCCAATATTTTATCACATTTAAAACAACATATAAAAAACACCAAACTCAACATTTTTGTTTGACATTATTTACTTGTACCTATTATCGGAAGCAAGGGAAAGTGAGCTGGAAAGAATTACGAAAGGTTTAATTTCCTTCCTAATTAAGACCCAATGCATGTACTTAATTATTCTCAATTCTCAATTAAAAGCACTAGTGTGAGTTATTTTAGTTTAATGACATGTTATTTCAAGACCAAATATGCAACTCGTGTCGGGCTTGTGTTGAAGTGAGGTGTCTTCTTTTTCAAAAAGTTATAAATATATATAAAAGAGTAATTATAAGAGTAAAATTACACACACAAAAAAAGTATGTACACCAAAAATTCTTATCTCTTTATTATAGTAATAGATATGTATTCAAAGACACTCAATCCTTATTCTTACACAATTGTCAAATTTTGTTTTTCATTCTCTAACATTTTTTTTTTCAGTTTTCATTTTAATCTATCTTAAAACTGTATGCACTATTTAATTAATTTTTTTATTTCACTTTAAATTTCATTCATTTTCAAGATAATAATTATTAGCTATTATATTTTAAAATAAATTACTTTTGTTCCATAATAAATGCTACATTAAAATAAAAAATAAATCATAAAATAAGTGTTTAGTTAGCTTTTTAAAATAATATTAATTATCTTTTTTCATTTATACTCCTAATAATATTATGAAGAAAGTGGTTTGTGTTGTATTGTTTCTAGTATAGAAGATTAATACCTTTAGTTATAAATATATATATCTAAACTCCAAGTCCATTGTCAGTCTTTAAAATCTTCAGTTTGATTCCTATTTGATTTTCTATGATAGTGTGCCCTTCTATAATTTTTTTGAAAAGTTTCAAATTTATTTTTTAAAATTTAAATATGTATTTTTCTTGAAAAATTATCAATCATGGTGAAAAAACAAGAACCCCTTTCACGAGCCTTCATCCTTGAAGGATCCCATAAATCCAAGTAAATATATTCAAAGGGTCTATTAGAAATATGCATATCAGTCTCAAACTTAACCTAATGAGCTTTTCTAATATGTAATGATCACAAAAATCTAGTTTATTCAATTTATCACCATTTAACATATATTATTTTTCTAGTTCCACGAAACCTTTTTCATTGATATGTCCAAGTCTTAAATATCATAGTTTTATTTTATCATACAAAGTTTGACTTACTATAGATGCATGAGCAATAACAATGTAACCATCAAGAATATACAAATCATTCCTTTTAATTTCCTTAGCAACTATTAAGGAACTATTAAAGATCTTCATCATATCATGCTCAATTTTAGTAAAATAACCCAAATCATCAAACATGCTTATTGATAAGAGATTCTTTTTAATTTTAGGGACATGCCTCACATTTTATAATATAATCTCATGAATATCAAGCATTCTCAAATGAACAGTACTCAATACCATACACCTTGCAAGGTTTATTGTTGCCAATAAACATCACTCCACTTTCTTTGATTTCCAAAGTCTTGAAGAAATCCTTCACAAGACACATGTAGTAGGTACATCTAAAATCCATTACCAATTCCTTTACGTTTTTGATGTTGATGCCACCAGTACTCCTACACTCTCATAACCATCTAAAACAACAATGACATCCAAAGAATCCATAGAGCCTTTGGCTTGTCTCCTTTCTCAAAACAATCTCTTTAATTTGTAATGACCAGTCCTACGATAGATATAACATCTAAGCTTAGCGTTCTTCAAGTCATCAAGAATCTTGTTAAAATTTCTAAGTTGTTCTTTAACCAATTTTGTTTTTTGTCATCTTGAAAGTGTAAAGTTGTTGCTTCAAGCATAACCGGTTTGTCAAAGACTTTGTCATGTATAAATATTCCAATTTGATTCACATGGTAGCAAGTGCCTTTTCTCTTGCAACCTCCCTTAGGGTTTTATCACCAAGACACAAGATGATAACATTTTTTATCTTATCAACCATTTTGTTATTCTTTTTCTATGATAATGATTAAGACATTTTTGTCTCACCCTTAAGAACTTCTACAACTTTATGATAACTGTCAAATTTTTAGTAAAATTTTGTTTTTATTTATCAGTGGATTTTAAAGTTCAAGACTACATTAATTAATATTTTTATCAATATTATACCCTTGCACATCTAACTTAATTCTCAATTAATTTACATTTACGATTAAAATGTATCTATTACAAAATAAAAAAGAAAGAAAACATAATATAAGACATTAAAATCATTGTATAAAAAACAAAAAAAGATTATTACCTTTCTTGATTGGTATATAACAACCTTAAACATCTAATAAAAGGAGTAAATATAATATTAATTTTTCTTAATATATATAAAATAATTTAAAACAGCACCTGTTATAAGTAAGATATCAAAAACTTGCTCAACTCCTAAAATTAAACCTATATCACTTTTGAGTTCTATATAAAGAGAGTGCGAGAAGCTGATTGTTATGAAGATAGTGAGGAAGTGATGAGCACCACAACTTGCACCATGAAACTCTCCCACCTCTCCTCCCTCCTCACACTCACACTCTTCTTCTTCTGCTGCTTCCAATTAAAAGCAGAAGCTTCCACGCCCCTCTCGCAACTACCACACCCACTGGACCCTCTCTCACCTCAAGAACTCACCCTCGTCCAAACCACAGTCCTAAACAAATACCCTAAACCCACCAACACCGTCTTCTTCCACTACGTGGGCCTCGACGACCCCGACAAGGGCACCGTCCTAAAAAGCCTCGCATCCCATTCCGAGGCCCCGCGCAACGCCTTCGTCATCGCTATCATCAACGGCCAAAGCCACGAACTCACCGTGAACCTGCGACGCTCCAACGTTGTCGTCTCCGACGAAGTCCACCAGGGAAAGGGGTTCCCCACGTTGACGGTGGAGGAGCAGAGCGAGGCCGTGGAGCTTCCCCTGAAGTACGGTCCCTTCGTGGAGTCGGTGGAGAAGAGGGGCTTGAACCTGTCGGAGGTTGTGTGCTCCACCTTCACCGTTGGGTGGTTCGGGGAAAACGATGAGAGGAAAAGGGTTTTGAGGATCGAGTGTTTCTTGAAGAATGGGAGTGCGAACATATACGTGAGGCCCATTAATGGAATAACCATTTTGGCTGATATTGAAAGAATGAAGATTGTTGAGTACCGTGATAACGCTGTTGAGCCTGTTCCTAAGGCGGAGAATACTGAATACCGAGCTTCGCATTTGAAACCACCGTTTAGTCCTAACCTTCGTTCTTATGGCTCTCATCAACCTCAAGGACCAGGGTTCACTATCAAAGGACACACTCTCAGGTATATACTTCATTCATGCCTCATTTTCTTTAATTACCATAAACATTTCATGTAAAAAAACATTTACTTTCGGTATATACTTTTTTGCCAACTTACATTAATATCGACTAATGGTTGTGGTTGACCAATGGCCACTTGTTACATCATGTGGTGACGTACCTTAATTATTTTTTTTTTAATTTTTATGAAATAAATGATGGCAAGTGAGTTATGGACTTGTTGGTGGTCCATGGTTGATAGGTATAACACTCTAATTAATTAACGAAATTTATTTGGTTATTGCTCGGGTTGTTCCTTAATTTTGACTTATATAATTAATTACTTAAATAAAATACACTAATATAATATTTTTATTTCAGTCACTTCCGTTAGAGTGTGATGGAATGTGACATTCTCAAAATATAAGAATCTCCTATTAAGTGACTCTGGTGTATCTTAATAATAAATAATGATAATTGCATTAAATTTTAAATTATCAAAAAAATAAAGTATAAACTAAAAGATTATAAGTTATTTATAAAATCCCATTATTAAAACAAATTCTGTACAAATATAATGACTTGTATAAAAATAATATGATATGATAGATTCTATATAAAGTAAAATAATAGTATTAATAAATTATTTATAAGATAGTCTTGCATCACAAACTTCATTGCAAATATAAAGACGAATCAATACTATGTGAAATAAAAAAAGCAAAATATGATCTTATATATATATATATATATATATATATATATACTGAATTTGATAATAAACATACCAACGATCATTTGTGTTTCAATATACACTTTAACTTTTGAAATGGTATTTTACAAACATTACTTATCCATTTTTTTTTAAATTACTCCAACTTCGTCAAAATACTATTTAAGATGAATTGTTTTAAGCTATTAAATTAATTACGTTTTTGTTGCAAAATTATGTTTCTAGAAAAGTTTCAGTTTTGCCTATAAACTAAACTAATTAGTTTTAGTTAAATTTTTTTTTTGTCTTATCATGTGTATTTCTTAACCCAATTAGTTAAAAGACTATTTTTTTTGGGTGGTATTCTGACTTCCGAAGCACCACGAATACTTTTACACTAGTATATATATTAATGAATCTTCCTTTAGATTTTGAACCCTGACCGTATTTAAATTAAACTCAATTAAATATCTTTTCCGTCCGTCAAAATTTAGCAATTTAGGGCTCAAATAATAAAACTAAAATTAAAATATAAGTTAAAATATTTTTTTTTAGTTTATATAATTTTATTTACTTTAATTTTAATTTTTATATTTTAAAATATTTTTTTAGTTTCTAATTTTTTAATCTATTTTAGTATTTATAGTTTAAGATAATTTTTTAGTTCCTATACTTTTTAATTTTTTAAAATAAATATTTTTAATCTCTTTAGTCCATTGTCACTAATTTCTTTTAAATTGTCTATTTTGTATTGACATGATAAAAACCTTCAATTTTGTGAGGGTAAAAAAATGTATTAAAACAATGAATATCATATATAATATAAAAAAGCCAAAAAGTGTGAAAAGACTTAAATTAGAGTAACATCAACAAAATAAATTCAATATCAAACACAAAATTAAATTAATACCTCTTTTAACATGAAAGTTACAAAAATAATTAACAACAGTGACTAAAAAGATTAAAGAAACTACTAGTATATGAATTAAAAAAAATATATTTAATTATAAGGATTAAAAAGAATTTATAAAGATAAATATAAATCTTACAAAGATCTATTTTAAATTATAAGAATTAAAAAATAAAGTAAATGTATTATAAGGATTAAAAAAGTATTTTAACCTAAAATATATAAGAAAAAATAAAATCAAGAAATGCTCGTATTAGGTAATAACTGAGTTACTATGAGAAGGAATAACTTTCACATTCTTAGGATTCATTGTGCATGGTTTGTGTTGGGACTTACATATTATGTGTTGTGTTCAGCTGGGCCAACTGGAAGTTCCATGTAGGGTATGATGTGAGAGCTGGTGTGATAATTTCAACTGCATCAATTTACGACCCCGAAGTGCATAAATCTCGTTCAGTACTATACAGAGGGTACATTTCTGAACTATTTGTGCCATACCAAGATCCAACTGAAGAATGGTATTACAAGACCTACTTTGATGCTGGTGAATTTGGGTTTGGTCAATCTATGGTTTCTTTGGAACCTCTGCATGATTGTCCACCACAAGCACAGTTCTTAGATATGTATTTTGCTGGAAGAGATGGTACCCCACAACACTTGGAAAATGCAATTTGTGTGTTTGAACAATATGGTGGTATCAGCTGGCGTCACACTGAAACTGGCATTCCCAATGAGGAAGTAAGTATATGGTGGCCCTTTCTTTGGTTAAAGCTGGTTTGGTTTCACAATGGAAAAATAACAATAAAATTTATGTTTGAGCATGATATTTTTGGAAAACCTTTTATATGTTTGAGAATAATAAGGTTTTAAAAGTGTAGGTTTAAAATAATTAATTAAATAATAAAGTATAATCAGTATAAATTTAAGAAATTAAATCTAAATACACTAATATAATGTAAATATATGTTTTTGATGTCATTCAACCATAAATTATTACAATAATTACTTTAAAATTTTAATGTGAATACATAAAAAATGTTACATGTAGTGACATATAAAAATGTCACTATATATATAATATATGTAGGTATAAACCTATTTAACATATACATACACATAATTTTAATATTTATTTTAGATGAGATTTAATAATATATATTATGTAACACTATATCAACACTTTCTAACAATATATCAACATATATTATATACATAATATAAGTAAAAATAATTTTTAATGACAATAGAATATGTGTCATTATATGATAATTATTTTTAATAATAGTGAATATACTAACATTATCATCTAAAAAATAAAACGCCTTATATGGTAAGCTTAGAAAATTTGATAATATAATTACTTTGAAAGTAATACATATGATGATTTTTGAACTATGTAATTTGTCTGATTTCAGATACGAGAAGTTAGATCTGACGTGAGTCTAATTGTTAGATCAGTAGTTACCGTCGGCAACTATGATAATGTAATAGACTGGGAGTTCAAGCCAAGTGGTTCAATCAAGCCTACGGTATGTTCCATTTTCTTGTGTTGTGGTCACTTTAATTAAATGTTGCTTATTTGAAGAAAAAAAAATCTTATTATTGTACATTTTACATCACAGGGAATCTCTTAAATGTTCTCGTATAGTAGAATTGCTTGTTTTGTTTTGCTTAAACAAAAATAGCAAGAATCGTATAAAAATTACTATAAAAGGTGTGCAAATTAAAGACTAATGAGATGGACACTAATTAAAGTATAGGGTTTGAAATGACCAAAAGCTGGCTAGGCAAGGTAACTCAAATTGGAATCAATAATGTTGTATCTTAGGTTTAGGTGTTACATATTTTAAGTTAAGTTAAGCTGGTCAGATATTGTCTTTGTACCATCAATTCAGTTAGTAGAATTTGTATGATTAATGTCTACTTTGACAATTCACAAATGTACGGATAAATACAATTTTTTTAAGAGTGACTAACATTCCATATTGGGAGTTATTCTACAATCATCCAAATTCTATCTCAGTTCTCAAATCACTAGAACTGATTTAATGATAAAAATTAGAAAATAATATATATAAGATCTTAAATTTAAACTCTATGCTGATATTGTAATATTTATGAATAAAATAAATTTCTTACTCAATTTTTCTGCATGATCCAACAGATATCCCTATCAGGCATGTTGGAAATTAAAGCAGTAGACATTACTCACACGGAGCAAATAAAAGAAGACCAACATGGCACATTGGTCTCAGAAAACAGCATTGGTGTTTACCATGATCATTACTACATATACCATCTTGACTTTGACATCGATGGTGTGGACAACTCCTTTGTGAAGACCAATCTGAAGACAGTGAAAGTGAGCGACAACAGTTCAAAGAGAAAGAGCTATTGGACAACTAGCAGTGAAATTGTGAAGACTGAGTCTGATGCAAAGATAAAACTTGGGTTCACCCCATCTGAGTTAGCAGTGGTGAACCCTAGCAAGAAGACTTCCACTGGGAATGAGGTGGGGTACCGTTTGGTTCCAAATGCAGCAGTTCATCCCCTTCTCACAGAGGATGATTACCCTCAAACAAGAGGTGCTTTCACCAATTACAATGTTTGGGTTACACCATATAATAAGACTCAGAAATGGGCTGGGGGATTATATGTTGATCAGAGTCGTGGAGATGATACTTTGGCTGTTTGGACTAAGCAGTAAGCTTAATATCTTAACTTTGGACCCAAATATATGTTTCAATTTTTCTTGATTCATCAGCATAATTAACATTTTGTCTTGATATGAAACAATTGCAGGAATAGGGGTATTGAGAACAAGGACATTGTGTTGTGGTACGTAGTGGGAATCCACCATGTTCCATGTCAAGAGGATTTTCCAATAATGCCCTTGTTGAGCACTGGATTTGAATTGAGGCCTACAAATTTCTTTGAGAGAAATCCAGTTCTTAAGACCCTTTCTCCAGGCATTGTTGAATGGCCAAATTGTGGAAAGCCATAGATTCCATTTTGTGCTTTGCCACTTTCAGTGCATTGTTGATCGAGAACCAGAGAAAGATTGATTTTACTCATCGATCATGTGTTGTGCTGTCATGGGAAATTGATAAATTTCAATAAATGATTAATTATTCTATATCGTTGTATTTTTCTCTCCCTTTGCCTTCCGTTTTAACAATTTTAATTGTGCATGGGTTAGAAGAAATAATATTTTTAACTTTATTTATGAGAGAAGTTTAAAAAAAAAACAATCTGTTACTATATATCTATCAATTACTTCCAACATATCACATTTTATTAACAAATGGTTTCCAACATATCACGTTTTTGCATGCTCTCAGTCTAGGCTTAGTATATGTATTTTTCTACATTATATTTTAGTTGTTTTATTATTGTCTGAAGGATAGGTGTTTTAGTGTTTTTTAAAAGAATTCTTACACTTTTACTATAATATATTAATGAAAATTATAATGTCACAAGGTGTTTTTATAAAGACTATTTTCAAAGACTATGGATAAAAAAATTGAGAGATAATACATCACTAACAGTTAACTCTTTGGATTTTTTTTTAATGAAAATTAATAAACAATATTAGTATTTATTTCACATCTATAACATAATAAAAAAACTACATAAATAGTTATGAAGTATAATATATATATATATAATATTTTAACTATTTTAAAGAATACCATTTAGAAGAGTAAAATTGAAGAGTATTTGAAAAATAAAAGAAGGAAGTGCATATATTTAACAAAAATCCCAATTTTTTACATCCCACTACGTCCTTATATTAAGCAAACTCAATAATCTATATGTTAAATTAAACTCAGTTAGGTTGAACCTTGCACATTCTTAATTAGAACAAAAGAAATCCAAAATAAGAGAGAGATTTGTAAATAGTGTATATATATATATATGTATATATATATATAAATGAAGTATTATTTTATTTTAGGTATTTATATTATTTGTACGGAATATTACTAACTTTATTAATAATTAATCTTTGTTAAAAAAATTTCTAATCACATTTAATAAAAAAAATACTATTTTTTTATATATATAACATAAATTTGAAATCTTTTTAAAAAATTAAATACCATTTATACTAAAGACTTGTTAGTACAAATGAAAGTATTCAATTTGCAGTTTAATTTAATTGGACTTTTTACCTGAAAGTTATATATGATCTAATAAATTTTTTGCCTAGAAAAAATTTTCTCGAATTTTCTTTCGCAATTTATAAGATGTGAATTTTGCCCTCACGTGATTAAACAACAAAATTTTGTGACAATTTAAAAAAATAATGACCTTTAAATTATCAAATTGTGGCCATAAAAAACCTCCACAAATTTGTAGGTTGATGGAAACAAAATTTGAAAAAGAAAATAGAGAAAAAAAGGCTTAAATATGTTCAAACTACCTCCAATTAGGTTGATTTTCAGATTATTATTTTTTATTTTTTTTTTAATTTTAATTACCTAACAATTTTTTTTCAATTTAGTACTTAACGTTAGCCCTCTTCCGTTAAGTGATGACGTGGCAGACGAACTGCCACGTCATCACCCAACAATGTCTGCACGTCATCTAAGGGACTGCCATGTGGACATGGTGATGACGTGACAAATACTGTTGGGTGATGACGTGACAGTCCGTCTACTACGTCATCACTTGATAGAGAGGGACCAACGTCATATACTAAATTAAAGAAAAAAAATTAGTCAGGTATTTAAAACAAAAAATAATAAATTAATAGGTAGTAATCTGAAAATTGACCTAATTAAAGGTAGTAATATGAAAATTGTCATTGAAGGATAAGTGGATAACCTATTTTGAGGCCACCATATTTTAATTGTATAAATTACACTGAGTGAAAGGAGCGTATGCGAATATTCATACAATCCATCGACTTGAAACTTTGGTTTGTCATAAAAAATGGACCAAAAATTCCACCAAAGATAGTGGACAATGAAGTGGAGAAAAGTGAAGATTAATAAGATGAAGAAGACATAAAACACATGTAATTAGAAACAAAAACAACAAACGTTTTATATTGTGCCATGAATTAAGATACTTTTGAAAAAATTTCCAAATGCGGCTTAAATATATTTAAACTACTGTTAATTAAGTCGATTTTTTATATTACTACCTCCAATTAGGTCGGTTTTCAAATTACTACCTATTAATTTATTATTTTTTTATTTTAAATACCTGACTAATTTTTTTTCTTCTTAATTTAGTACCTGACGTTGGTCCCCCTCTATCAAGTAATGACGTGGTAGATGGACTGTCACGTCATTACCCAACAGTGTTTGTCACATCATCACCATGTCCACATGGTAGTCCTTTAGATGACGTGACAAACACTGTTCAGTGATGATGTGACAGTCTGTCTGCCACATCATCACTTAATGGAAGATGACTAACGTCATGTACTAAATTAAAAAATAATTTGTCAGGTAATTAAAATAAAAAAAATTAAAATAATAATCTAAAAATCAACCTAATTGAAAGTAGTTTAAACATATTTAAAAAAAATTGCAAGATTATATAACTTTAATAATTAAGCCTTTATTTAATCACAAAAAGCAGATATGTGACACCCTTACTACCCCAACATGTATATTGTAATAAATCTTTTCAGTTACAGTAAAAGGGTTCACATAAGAAATTTCAACAACTACACTAATTGAAATATCAAACATAAAACACAAGATTCTTTACAAATTGTTTTCAAAATAATATTACAGTACCAAATTCACATAAATATTTCATCCTAAAAATCCTTTGCCCTGATGTCACAATATCAGAGCATTTCCCAAAATAAAACAGTTGGCATTCTAGATGCCACTCGTAGCCGGATCTTCTCCACCTAAAATATCCACAATTTATACGGTGAGAAAAGAAGATATCTATATGCAAAGTACATCCAAACACACCATGTTAAAATCTCATCATATTTCTTTATTTAATAAATTATTTACGATCATGTATCATAGTTTATCAATTCATCATAATCCACTTAGATTTTATAATTAACAAAATCATTTATACCTTTTCTCATTCACATCATTAAAACAATTATTTCACCATTCATAACTCATGTCAATCTCAACATCATCAATAATTCATGCCAATCTCAACAATTAACACTATGTCAAGACCTCGCCACATCTGACACAAGTGATACGGGTTAATTGCCTCACTCAACCCACACCAGACCAGGGTCATGCCCTCCCTGTAGCATCACTTACCCAGGGGCCATGCCATCCCTAATCATTTGGTGTGAGGAAACACAATCACATTACAATCAATACAATCTCTTGCAATTAACCCTATGCCAGGGCTGCCATAAACGACATAAGTGGTGTTGTTAACTGTCTTACTCATCCCACACCATGCTAGGGTCACGCCCTCCCTGTAGCACCAC